ATGTAAAGCTACTAAAACTATTGAAAAAAAAGTCTGTCCAAAAGCGAAGCAGTTTCTAATAAATGGTTTTATTGAGGCATTTCTTCACAGTTGTGCTGACACCATATTTTCAGCGCTTCCACTGGTATGTTGTATGTAGGAGAACATCATCAGGGAACAAAAATTTCACAATGCAGCCAGTGATATGTCCGATGCCAAAAATGTCTAATGTAGTAAAACGATTTTTTACTACATTATGTGTGGTCCTAGAAGAAAGACCCTATTAATGTGTTGCATGTCTGCTTCTCTTCTCTCTTACTGCTAACAGTGCTGACAACAGACACACTTCTATGGAGGAATTCATCCCTAGATTATAAGTACAGCTTTATCTCTCCACTTAGCTGTCCCTGTCCATTTGTGGACATCGGTCATGATGTCCCATCACAGGTTCAGCTTTATAGTTTGTCTTTCTGGCACACTTGACTTTTTGTGACAGGGGATGATTTACTAAAGGGGTAGGGTGTGTTCACTTTAACAGATTTCACAAAGCTAAGTGGATGAAGTCAATCTAAGGGAAAATTCACTTTGCAAAGAATATCAATTATATGCATGAACAATTTTATATTTGAAAAAAAGGATTTTTGGATGCAAACAATTTAATGATAGAAATCGGTAGAGTTGGCTAAGTGAATATTAACTTTGCCAAAAAAAAAAAAAAATATATATATATTTTTTTTTATTTATTAGTATTTGATAGTAGAATGCTACAGGAATGCTAAAAGAGATGGTCACAGGCAGCAGGCTAACAACAGGGATGGTTGGAGACTGTGGGCGTGCTACAGTAGATGTACAGAGACTGCGGGCATTCTACAGGACATTGTCAAAGACTGTGGGCATGCAACAGGAGATGGTCAGAGACTACGAGCATGCTGTAGAAGATGGTCAGAGACTATGGACATGCTACAGGAGATGGTCAGAGACTACGAGCATGCTACATGGAGATGGTCAGAAACTACTAGCATGCTATAGAAGATGGTCAGAGACTATGGACATGCTAAAGGAGATGGTCAGAAGACTAAGCATGCATGCTACTACAGGAGATGGTCAGAAACTACAAACTATACAGAGAAGCATGCTACTATAGAAGCTACAGGAGATGGTGGTCAGCAGACTATAGAAGGAGACTATGGACATGCTACAGGAGATGGTCAGAGACTACGAGCATGTTCAGGAGATGGTCAGAAACTAGCAGCATGCTATAGAAGATGGTCACAGACTATGGGCATGCTACAGGAGATAGTCAGAGACTACGAGCATGCTACAGGAGATGGTCAGAGACTACGAGCATGCTGTAGAAAATGATCAGAGACTATGAACATGCTACAGGAGATAGTCAGAGACTACGAGCATGCTACAGCAGATGCTCAGAGACTACCAGCATGCTGTAGAAGATGATCAGAGACTATGGGCATTCTAAAGGAAATGGTCAGAAACTGCAGGCCTGCTACAGGAGATGGTCGGAGACTATGGGCATGCTACAGTAGATGGTGAAAGACTTCAGGCATTCTACAGGAAATGGTCAGAAACTGTGGGCATAATACCGGAGATGGTTGGAGACTATAGGCATGCTACAGTAGATGGTCAGAGACTTCAAGCATTCTACAGAAGATGGTTGGAGATTATGGACATGCTACAGTAAATGGTCAGAAACTGTGGGCATGCTATAGGAGATGATGATCAGAGATGACTGTGGACATGCTACAGGAGATGGTCAAAGATTGTGGGCATGCGATAGTAGATGGCCAGGGACCGCTGGCATGCTACAGGAGATGGTCAGATACTGCAGGCATACTACGGGAGATGGTCAGAGACTGTGGGCATGCTACAGGATTGTATGTAGACTGAGGATATGCTGAAGGAGACATTAAGGCTTTATTTACACAGCAGCATCACCTTGTGCTAGGTTACTGCAACAAATATGGGTAAATAGGCCAAAAAACACTCAGGGCCTATTTTTTGAGGAATTCTAGAGATCACTATCAGTACAATCCCTTTACAAATTAATCCTTGCACATTTATTCTGCTTTCAATCTCCTTATAAATTACAGGCAGCGCATTTTATATTCTTGTTGGCAATATATATTATTAGAGATACAGAATAAAAATTAAGTGATAGAGAAAAGGGATAGAGTAGGGAAGGGTTATATCCTCGGTCAAGCCTTTATTACCATATCCCCATTGGAGAGATTCACACATCAATTTGTATTGGTGACTACTCCAAAGTTGCTCCCAGAACAAAAGGTAAGAGGAAATATTCCAATGGGGACACCTGTTCCGAGGGAAAACTGTCTAAGAGTGACAAGTGTCCCCTTTAAAAGTTCCCCAATGGGGACATCTGTCTCCCCTTACTTTGGGAGATTTACTCTAACTTCCTTTTGTATCTCTAAGATAAGATGTGAAAAGACACCTCCCCAATGGTGTACAGGCAGCAAGCAATAAAATGGTAGGGGCTTAACCCTTCCCTACTTTATCTGAAACATAAAAATGTTACATTTTAACAAGTAAGAGCCAGTCTATGCATATTTTCCTTTGCAGGCCAAATGGAAAGAACTGAGGTGAAGACAACACTATTTGCTGCAGGGGCTCGTGCACCTCATAAAAAGTACCCAAAGGGTGAATGTTGGGCAGTAGGGGGTTAAAAGTCCCAATGGATTTTTACTGATGTATGTGACCCTCTTGGTGGCATTTCTTCAGACATCCTGCCCTGGTGACACCTGTAGTAACAAGTACAGGAAGTAATCAAGGACACAAACAGAAATAAAACTTTTCAGAGGTTCTAACTCCAACGCATTGTTTAAAAAAATGTTTTGGCTGCAGTCATGTTTTAAGGTCATGAACCGATGGCCCACTCTCCGCTGTTTCTGTAATTTGCTTTGAAGTAGGAATGTTGGCAGCATTAATGTGCAGGGGATCTGTCAGCAACCTTACTAGATCACATGCTTTGTTAGGTTGCTTTTCTTTTACATTAATGCTAATTAGTTCACAGGTTATTTGCAGGAAACAGATTCTTTGCTGGTTCCCATAAACAAATGCCAGTTCTACTAATTGTGTAACTCATTGGGGGGGATTTACTAACACTGGAGAGTGCAAAACCTGATGCAGCTCTGCATAGTAACCAATCAGCTTCCAGATTTTGATATCAAAGCTCAATTGAACAAGCTGACCTTAGAAGCTGATTGGCTATCATGCACATCTGCACCAGATTCTGAGTGGTCCAGTTTTAGTAAATCTCCCCCATTGCAATTAATTGTGATAGTGAGTTCATCTTTAGAAGACAAATGATCCAGCATGATAGAAATTTTCTGAAATAAAGGAATAAAATAATTTTCTTCCAATTATGAGAAGTATTTTTGTTGTCCCCCGTTCATTAACTCATTTATGAAGCTTACATGTAAAATAATTGGAGTTTGCTAACTACAAATTTTATTTCTATTATTACAATTAGGAATGCACCACAATTTTGGTGGCTGAAACGTTTCGGCCGAAAACACCCCTTTCGGCCGATATGAAAAAAAGAACCGATACAGGTGCCGAAAAAAACGCAGCCCCTCACCTCTACCTGCCCGCTGCTGCTGCCGCCAGCCGCTCGGTAGTTCTCAGCCTTACCTGAGAAACCATTGAACGCTTCCAGCACCCCTTTTTTTTTAAGCTCAAAGAATGCTGGAGAAAAAACACCCCTTTCGGCCGATATGAAAAAAAGCACCGATACAGGTGCCGAAAAAAACGCAGCCCCTCGCCTCCACCTGCCCGCTGCTGCCGCCACCAGCCGCTCGGTAGTTCTCAGCCTTACCTGAGAAACCATTGAACGATTCCAGCACCCTTTTTTTTTAAGCTCAAAGAATGCTGGAGAAAAAACACTGGTAATAGCATTTGTAGTAGCGTTTTAGTAATGTTTAGAAGAGTTTAGGAGCGTTAGCGTTTTATTAGACTTTTTACAGTACATGTAGAAAAAAGCTATAAAAAATCTGTTAGTAGGGTTTTAGTTGTGTTTAGCAGCGTTTTAGTTGTGTTTAGCAGCGTTTAAGAGTATTTAGCTTTTTTTCTGCTGGAAAAAACACTCCAAAAAACTCTACAAAAACTTTTTTTTCTGCTCCTTGATGCTGAAGCTCAAAAAACACTAATAGCCTAAAGAAGTGTAGATGAGACACATAGGATGACACTATTTAGATTCTAGGAGCAGGAAAAATGCTAATAACAGCTTCTAGGAGCTTGAAAAAAGGCTAGTGTGCATAGAGCCATATAGGATAAATGTTTCACATAAAATGCTGATCATTGTATGCACCTGTGTCAGTATTAAATGGTTTGTCTCAACCATCTGATGCCCTGTACACACTGTAAGAATATTGTATGAAAATTTTCATACGAGGACCAATCGTTCGATAATCGGATCGTTAGTACACAGCTTTCGAGAGCCAATCACTACAATTTGTGCGACAATATCCGAAGAGAGAAGCGCAAAGATTTTTCTCATACGATACCAGATCGTACGATTTTCATTTAATCAGTACAGTAGTAGTCCGAAAATACAATAAAAATACAATACAATACATGACATCACTTTCGAAATTCTTTTCTTTCATAGGAGAATTTTCGTATCTTTAATAATCTTTTCACTTTCTATGTGAGACTAGCAGACGGAAAAAAAACGAGCGATCATTTGTCCAATATTCTCATTGGGTGTACAGGGCTTAACTTCCTCTTTTGCTGGGCTGCTTGGTCTGTTAGAGAGGGCTGAAAAATATAATAATAATAATAATATTAATAAAGGCTGAATCAGCAGAAGAAAAAAAAGCCTAAAAAAAAGAAAACTAATGCAGCCACCACATCTACGAACTGTTAAGGTGCAATATCATATATTTTTTGTTTTTGGGTTTATTACTGCTTTAAAGTATAACTCTAGCCAACATTTTTTTCTGGTTATGGATAGAGTGGGGTAGGGTTAGAGCCTTTGTTGTTTGTAGCCTCCCTGGCGGTATTCCCGAGTGTAGCTCGGGGTAAAGTTTCAGTACCACAAGCGGTAACCCTGAGCTACACTCGGGCTTACCATGCGGCGGCTCCGCGATCCCTCGGTCACTTACCTTGTCCTGCGCTCCCGCGATGTCCCTCCTGCAGTGTCCCCAGTAATTTAAACCCGCGGATGCCGGCATCTGTCATCTGGGTTCTGTCCCTTGCGAGTGTTGGGACGTACGGGGGACGGAACGGTGGGAAATTTGAAAATGACAAAAAGTGACATTCACTAAATACACTAAAATCACATAGTAAAACATTACTGTATCAAACCATTTCACATACATTTTGTCCCGAGTGCTTTGTCCTGTGCCCTGCCTGCATTTTTACTGTTCTTTCTGCCTGGAAACTGAGAAATGTCCATGGTGTCCAAAAAGCGTCCCTTTAGGTCAAAAGCGGTTTTAGACCAGCTAGAGAACAGTGATAGTAAATTAGAACCACTTTGCAGAATTGAGTGATAATGATTCGTGGGGGAATTCGTCATCAGACACTGAAAACGATTTTGCGACTTTGCTCAGTGATGTGTGAACTTGGCGCTATATTTCAAATTTCAGTGTTTTTGGTTTGATTATATTATTGAATTACATTTATTATTATTAATATATTATTATTTTTTATGATTATTTATTAAATTATAATTTATGATTTCGTGTTTCAAATTTTATCATACCCGGGATGTTTACTAGACTCTTGTTCTAACAGATTTCAGTGAGTTATTCCTAAGAATTACAGGCCTACAATATAAAACGCCAAATTTCCATGCAAAATAATGGTACTGTTTTCAGCACCAAAAATCTGAAATAATCATACCGCCAGGGAGGTTAATGCATATTGTAAAGCGCTGAGCAAACTGTTGGCGCTATATAAATCCTGTATAATAATATTGCTGTTTGTTTTCCTCATTGAGGAAATCTAACCTTACTATTTTTTTTTCTGGAGACCATAAGCAAAAGTAGGAGGGAATCCAGATGTTTATAGCTGTAACCAGAACAGGGCTAGAAGAGAAATATTTTGATGGGGGCACTTGTTTCCGTAACTACTGTTAAAGGTAAGATTTCTCCAACTTTTGGAGAACTTCCTGTTGTGTCTGTAGAGACAGGAAGTGCTGGAAATCCTCCCCTATGGGGACACAGTATTAAAACATCTGACAGACTCTTTTTCTCACTCTATCCAAAGCTGAAAAAACCTGTTTTGGCTGCTGTTATACTTTAACTGAGAAGACCTTAACTTCTCTGATGCCAAGGCCTATAAAGTCAAGTCATTTACTGATTTAGACCTATCACCCCATTTGTTTTAATCTCTATATTATTTTAACCTTTTCTCCAGATTTTCTGTTGAAATAATAAGCCAAAGATGATGAGAATGTCTTTGTTTATTGACCATTACTCTAATTGACTTTTAGTGTCTTGTGTCAAGAAATAAAGGAAAATGTGACTTTTAAAGTGGAACCATATTACAAGGTTAACCTTGTCAATGACGAGTGTCAGTATATACAGCTGTACTTATATAGCCATACTGGAGCTTTCTCAAGGAAGAAAAACTCTCATCTATCTAAACATAGATCTATCTCTATTTCTGATCAATGGGACATGCGGGATCTAAGTGAATGTCTATACAAATCGTGACATTTCGCTGCTCTTTGCTCTGGAAGAGTCAGCTGGGAACTTGTAAAAACCTAGAGAATGTCAGTTATAGGCTGTAGTGACAATGGAGCAATCTGTGTCCGTTCCATTGGGAGTTGCCAAAGCATCTGGATGATTTGCTTTGTGGCTTATTTTCCCAGGAAACTTGAGTCTCCTAGTACCCAGAGGATGGCTCTGAGAAGGTTCGGCATGTGGGATTTGCTCGACTTGAGTTTCCCAGTTACTGTTTGGAAAATGAAGTTTGACAGTGGGGATACCCGACTCTTACATGATCACACAATTCTCTGTAGTATATTCCTGCTGACAGTGTAAATCTAACGCTGGATATCAGTTTCCATTTCCTTTGAGTGCTTGCATCCAAACCACTTTGTGATCTAGGGATTTGGTTTTGCTGCTTTGTAGAGCTTTCCCAATACTCCGAATTCCTTCTCATCAGATGAATACATTTATAAGACAACTCCAATCAGGGCTGGAAGAGGCTAACATGTCCTACACATGCAGTGATGATAATGCATAGGGAGTACCTGGGATTACCATACAGTCCAACAGATTGGATACTTACCTGAAATCTATCCCATTCACAAATACACGTGTATAATGTTATTGACACAATCTATACCAAACGTTATATACTTCATATGATTTAATGTGGTTCTAAAGGCTTAAGGGTTTTTTTTTTCTGCATGAAGGTAAAAAATCTTCTGGCCACAGAATCCACCCTTACCCACTTTATACATACCTAACAATGAGATCTCGATCCAGCACTGTGCCTGTGCTCCACTGGCTCTCTCCCCCCCTCACAGAATGATAGCAGCAGGAACCATTGGCTTCTGCTGCTGTCAATCACAGCCTGTGAGGAGACAGCGGGGGTGGGACCGAGATGTGCAGGCAGTGCTGCTTGGGATCGGGCCCACATGAGTGCCCCCATAAGAAGCAGCTTTCTCTGGGGGCATTTGCTGAATAGGTGGAGCCAGGAGCTCCGGCGTGGACTCCAAAAGAGGAGGATCAGGGCTGCCTTATGCAATACCATTGCACAGAACAGTTAAGTATGACATTTTTTTATTATTATTAAAAAAATAGTTTAACAATCACTTTAACCACTTCCTGTCCAGCCCATGTAGATAAACGGCCGGACGGGAGCAGTGCCGAAGCAGGTTGACATTTCTAAATGTCCCCCGCATTCACTGCCTGTGCACGTTCCCCCGGGAGCTCACGGCACCGCTGTGTCCTATCGCTGTACGGGACCTCTGAATGAGGTCCTGATTCATGTGATCACTGATTGGCCAATCAGTGATCACATGAATAGTAGTAAACTAGATGTCACTTTCTGACATCATTGCTTACTACTTGTGAAATCTGTGAATAATCACAGAGGTCACATGGTACAAGACTGTTCACAACAGCCTTGTACCATGTGACAAGCTGTGACCAATCACAGCTCTCACAGTATTTGTCAATGGCTGCAAGAATGCAACCAGAGAGAAGGAGAAATGATTGCTTTTACAGCCTTTATGGGTGTAAAAGCAATCAGTGTAAAAAAAGAAAAAAAAAAAAACTTCATCACCCCCCACAAGTAGTACAGTGTCACTATGGTGACACTGTACTGCTAGGGTGACAGTATGTTAAAAAAAACCTAAATAATTATATCAAACAAAAAAGGAGTTAAAAAAAGTAGAAACATTATAATTTTTGGTTATAAACAATTTGGGTTTTTTTTCTCTAAAATGATAGCTGAATACATTTTGGCCAAGATTTATGAAGAAAGATGATTTATTTGCAAAATAAAATAAAAAACACTTTTTTTTCAAAATGTTTGGACTTTTTCATCATTTATATAGCAACTGCTATGGGGGAAAGATAGCGCATGCGAAGGGGTTTATATCAATTGGAGTATCTTGGCAACATCCTAGCAACAAGGCAGGACAGGATGATGCAAACTATGGGAGTTTTTCAGTCGGCTTTGGGAGGTACGGGAATGGTCTACATCTAAAACAAGGGCATTATTCAACTTTGGTAAAAGCTGAGGTTGATTTCATCTACAAGCATCCTTTGCCTGCATAGACAGTTTTTTGGTAAAGGTGAACTAACCCTTTAAAGCCAAACTCCAGGAACTAAAAAAAAAAAAAAATACCCTGGCAGTGGGACCCCCTGCACTGTAAGGGTTAAAAGCTCATTAATTAATTGTAATACTTACCTTATACCCTGATCTGGCAGGCTCCCTCCATATGTGCAACCAGTCTCTGAAGCCTCTTCACCGTCCTTGTACATGAGGACGATGAGGGACCACCCACAAACTGGAGCACAGGAGAGTGCCAAAGGGTGTCGGAGTAAGGAGTAGGGTAAGTATTACACTTCATTTATTACCCCCAGAGTTAATGGGCATTTACCCTTACATTGTATGGGGGAGGGGGGTGCAAACTGAAAAACAGAAGGAGCCGTTGGAAAATTGTAAGCCAAACAGTGACTGCATCCAGAGTTACTGTTCGGCTATCCAGACAGCTGTGGATGCTGGCTGTCTCGATACAATAGCCAGCAGAGGGGATTCCTCCACCACTCTGTTCAGCATGCATATAAAATCTGTTAGATTCCTCCGTGGGCTGATTGAGAGAAATGTAAATGGGTATGGCTATCCTAGGTAAGTACTAGGTCATGTTATTTGCAGGTCAGCCAGGTTTTTAGTGTTTTCTGAAGGAAGGCCAGCATTGGCAGTCTCGATATTTCCTAAGCACAGGTTTTCTTTAATGTAATGCAATAGCGCTGATTTTATAGTATACAAAACAAAACTTTTGAGACAGCAAATTTTTCTAACCACTTCCATTAAATTGATATGTGGGTACATGAGTGAGAATATGGCTGCTTTGACCATATCCCAAACCAGCCTTTCTCAACAAGGGTGCCCAGGCACCCTGGGGTGCCTTGAGGTTTCTTCAGGGGGGCCTTGGCCTTGTCTAAAAATTGCCCCAAACTTGTATACAAGCCAGCGGGTGGAACAAGCCTGCCTTTTAGTTACACAAAGCCATAGGTTTTTATTGTGCGCCATTACGATCTTCTAGATGCCAGCATTCTGAAAACCAATGACATCATCAATTGATAAGGAGGATGTCAGTGGCCTGTATAGCATCCTAGTTTGACCCTCCTCTGCCCCTCTCCATCAATGCTGGGGTCACATTAGCTCTGTGATGGAGAAAAACTGAGGAGAGAAGAGAAACATGGGAATACTAGTCAGTACCAGTGTGCAGAAGTGTATTTGCTTTGGAAGAATAAATCACCTCTAATGTTGGGTGTCCTACATGTGTGGATGTTGCTGCATTATATAAAACTATTAGAATAGTTTTTTCACATTTTAGAATGGGGTGCTCTTTTAAAATTATAGACAGTCTAGAGGCACCCTATTTTAGAATGGGGTGCCTCAAGACTGTCCCTAATTTTAAAGGGTGCCTTGGGACTGTCCCTAATTTTAAATGGTGCCTTGGCTGAAAAAAGGTTGAGAAACATTGTCCCAAGCTTTCCAGTGGTTTGGCTTGGGACAGGTTCACTTTAAAATGGTTTTGCGAATCGGCACCAGGATTTATGACTTAAATCCACCATAGCTGCTAGCT